TGATGAATGCTCGTGTTAGTTGTTGGATATGTTTATTTAGACGAGAGAAGCAGCCAACAATAATCGTCACAGAAATGTGTCTCTGTTCACTCTAAAAACTTGAAGTGCTGTAAGACCACAATGGAAAGCAATGTACAATGAATATAGTTGTCTGCATCATCGATAGAAACACTCTACTTTGTTTATCAAATTAATAAATGGTACCTACAAGCCTGCATTCAGACAAAAATTAGGGAGGAGGTATAAGTTCTTACTTGCTTCAGAGCTGCAGAGAATCTGTTATGGGTATTGATAGCTAAGCTATCAAATTGCCTTTGAATTTAAAAGAGAGAAAAGTCACATTCCCAAATACTACTTTCATTGTAAGAGATGGTTAGTTGTTAAAGACACTAAATACAAGCTACAAATTGGCAACTGAAAGTTTATTTTTCTTGGCTGAATTCTAGGGATTTTTTTAGCCTCATACCTCTCTGCTTAGCTAAATCGTATAAATAGTGGATAAATTCTTTTTAATTCAATCAAGTAGGTGCCCCTTAGAAGCAGTGACAATACTGAAAAATACACTGTGTTCCTGTGTTTTAGTTCTGAACTGAAACCTTGCCAGAAACATGCCTCTTAAACACTTGCCTTTTTTATAATCCAAATAACAGTTAAGGGGTGAAAACTGCAGCGTCCTGGCAGTGCGGATTTACAGACATTGAGTCCAAAGGAGTCCAGAGCCAGTGGGGTGTAAACTGACCCTGCCAGAGAGAAGTGGTGTAATAAAAAGCACAAGAGAAATCCACAATTATTTTTTCCCCAAATGAAGGTATTATATTAGAACATCAAACTGCATACTTCAATAAAGTAATTTTGCAACTGTAGTAGAGGAGGGCGGTTGGATTATTATTTGTGCTGGAGGACTTCCGCCAGTCATGGCAAGCATTGTACAGGCTCTTTCTGAGTTTGATCTGGGGATTCTGCATTTCCAGCTATACATAATTCCCATCACATTTGCTATCACAGCTGTATTGCAAGCAATTAAACTGTAAGGCAAGACGATGTAGAGAACATCTTGATCAAATTACAATGTCAGATGAGACAAGAAAAAACGAACCCCAAACTGGACACTAAGGGAGCCTCTGATAATATGCATAGAGGAAATTATATTGCTTTGAAAATACAATAGGACGTAGATCTGATAAGAGGCTCTGGCAGGACTTCAGTATGTGACAGTTCTAGACAACTCATTTTAATTGCTTGTATTTCTATCTTCTGCTTAAAAAGGCAATATATTTTTCTGAAAGGATGCTTAATGGACTGCAAAGGCAATTATTATTTTTGAAAGTGTATTTGGAAGATGATTATAAATCCTTACAGAGGCTAGTTGCTAATTTGTATCCCTGGCTGTATTTCAAGAGATTTCAGGTAAACTCCAAGTTGTTTAGTAACAAGAATATAAATTGAAAAACTGCATTTGCTCCATGGCAACATACATGTAATAAATTACAAAATTGTGCCTAAAATGTTTAAACATTTGCTTTCCTGCTCCACATCATTGGATTAAGTTTTCTCATACAATCACAGGGGGTAAATATGTTGATTGTTATGTTGATTGTCACGGTCTTCTTGTTTCCATTTTTTTTATGAAATGTTTTCTTGTATTTTGAGAAAGTGTTCACACTGCCAAAGAGCCAGAGGTTACTAGTGTAGGCTTTGGCACGCATGCAGATAACTGAAAACAATAAAGAGAGACATTCAAGGTGAAAGTTGGGACATTTGTTTTGTTATTGTTGTTTGCTTTCACTGATTTGTGGGTACACATTAATACATGTCAATGTCCGTATAGCCATATGTTAAGTGATATTCATAAAACAGAGAGATAAAAATTCAGAGATTTTATTTTAGCCAGTGTACAGATAGCAAACTGTCAGTTGTAGATCTGGTGGTGACCACAAGTCCCCCATTTTGATACAGTGAATTTGTGGACCAACAAAGCTTCTCTAAAACGTGCTTATAGCTCCATTTTTAAGAGTATTTTGAAACTTGGATGGTCCATAAGCATTATCAGGAAGGTGATGCAGGCTAGAGATGTTTCTTGTTTCTCAACAATGGTGTTTGTCTGAAGAATTACTTTTTTGTTATTCAAGAACAGAGCTGTATGACAGTTGCATAAAATCACTCTTATTACCGTTAACTCACTTTCTCGTTTCCTTTGTTGGCTCTGGTAAAATTAGTTCTTTCCTGATTTCTTCACTGATTTGCTCGATAGAGTTTTCTTATTATTGTTATGGTTTTCTTGCTTTAGAAAAACAAAGTGCAGCATATGGCATAGCGATAATATATACCATTGGAAAAAATGCTTCATTTCTCACTGTCAAATCATTCCATTTGATTGTGAAGGCTTGACATGATGCTATTTCTCCATCACATGTTAAAACTTCCACAACTCTTTTTGCCAACAAGGTGCCTGTGGCTCTGCTGTCCTCCTCAAAACTGGCTCTTGGCCTGAAATAATGAGCAAAGTTTTCAGCTTTTATTATATTTGGCTCTTAATAAAATCTTGCAAGCTTGGTGGTTAAACTCCTTTACAGGTATGAGTATATATTCGACCAAACTGTCTTCACCAGATGCAATAGTATGTTAGGAATTAAGTTAAACTCTACTTTCCCGGCCATGTTGGCCTAATTACAGTAGAGTATGCTTTAATGAGGGTTCTTCTAAGGTACCTCTGCTTGATATGGCAAACAGCCCAGAGGCAAACTTCCGATCCCAGTGTCAAGAAATGATTCATTGCTTGACTGCAATTAACGGTTGGGCTTCAGGGTCTGGATAGAAAACTAGAATAAGACTCTCTTTCAGCTCATATGTTGAATCCAGAGTTGTTGACCGTTTCCAATGCAGATGTAACTCAAAGGCCATATATCATGTAGCAGATACTGCACAGAGTATGGACAAAGAAGACAGTGTTGATTAAATTTACTCAGTCTTTAAATTAGTTGCACATCAAAGAATTGTCAACAAAGGGTGGGAGGCATTTGATAAGGAAAGACGAACAAAGAGTGTCCAACAGTAAAGTTCATATAAAATAGATCTTTCTACCTTAAGGTAAAAAGAGTGATAGATCACTGTATATGTAAATGGACTTTGCCATTTTTCTTTGAATTGTTTGAATCTGTGAGAGCTAATGCCAAGCCTGCTTTGTTTGTGTCCCCCTTCATTCTCACATAATGTTGTGTGTTTTCCAAAACAACAAAGAAGAAAAATTGTCATAGCATAGCATATGAAATATAATTACTAATGATAATACTGAAAAAAACAATGCAGCTTCTGCTCCTAAAAATGATACTGCTCATCCCAAATAATATTCACACCCCAGGAAAGAGGAGGGGGAACACTACAGGAAACCTTCTTTTGGAAATCTGCTTCATTTAATCAAAAAAATCATTGGTCTTGGCTAGTTCTCAAGGCTAGCTCTCAAGGCAAATGTCATGGCATCCCATAATGATGGCTGCAGGAACAGGCTCATATTCCCCTGGTACAGGCTGTTACACAGCCTGACCTAAATACTATGAAAAACTGGAATAGTGACCTGGTTATGAGTTGGGAGATTTTGTTTGAGAGACTTTCCTTAGGTATAGTAGTCCACTCTGTAGCTTTTGGGAAGAAATCTGTCAAGTCACAGTACAGAATAAGAAATTTTTGCCTCCTGTCTAGTTGCAGTGATAACAGCCAATTCAAAACTTCTTTTGGGAGACTTTTTTCCTGCCATCTGTAGATGTTTGAATGTGTAATTTATGAAATAGTGTTATGTTTAGCACCCAGCATCTTTCAGTCTTTCTTTGATACTACTCTTTCAAACATACATGTTCTCTTTCATTAAATAGCTAAAGTTCAAGTGGTTTAAATCTTATTTTTTCAAACTAGAGAATAGCATTACTCACATACCAGAAGGCTAAGTAATGTCTGGGATTTATTAAATCATTCAGCAAAGTTGACCACAGACAGTTGCATATAGAACAAATGCTGGAAGAAAAATAATCTTCTATGATGATGTTCATTATACTATAACACACACAGACTGAGAGCCAAATACTTGGTATCATTTCTGTCTCTACAATTATTATGTTTCTTTTTAGACCTTTAACTAGCTTGACATTTTTGGTTATAGAGGGTTTGAGCACAGAGGAAATGCGTAGTCTTAGATCGTAGGAATGATAAAAAGGTAAGTTTAATGTTAATTTGACGTCTTCGTAAAGCAGCTGTGGGTTATAACAAGGTAAATATTTATTGGTGACTTTAATGAATAGGTAACTTTTACTGCCAACTTATTGTTATTGCACACTTTTTAAAATCTTACATTCCAAGGGTATTTGCAAAATTCTATTGCTGTTATATTCAGCAAAAAGAGCATTATTAAAGCTGGAATTGAAATTGGAATTGGGGGTTTTTTTGCATCTGTTCCTAGTATTCCACATATACCTGTGAGTCTTGGCCAGTTTTTTTTATTAATCATTCATAGATAAATGTGAAAAATGCAAAAATATTAAATGGATGTTATTGATCAGACAATGATAACCTAAAGTGTCAGAAGTAACTGAACAGATGTTCTTGGGAAATTCAGGTCCTTACCATTTTCTAAACATTAAGCTCATTTTAAAATCACAAACTGAGTATCCAAAAATTGACCAAAGGCAACAGGAAGTAATTATTTGCTGTGTAAGACTATAATCTGTAATTTATGTATTATTTACTCTTATGAGCAAAAGAACATCAAACAAAATAACTATGAAAATTCCATAATAAAAGAGAAAAGTCATACAAACTTATTTCTGCTACAGTGTATCCTCTTGGTTTGATTAGTTTTTTGGTTTATATTGAGTTACAACCCAGGGAAAATTTTAAGCTTTGCTTCGCCTTTTTAAAATTGTGTTGTTTGCACATAAAAGGATATTTGTTGTGTGGATTAAGTGGTTTGTGAGCAGGATTGGATAATACATAATTATGTTTTAATTTTTTAGAAGACTGTGGGACGTATTTCCCAGAAGTGAAAAATCATCCAGACAAATATTTACAAAGATGTCCCGAGTCTGTAAAAAAGTGGCTGAAACAACTGAAGAGTGCTGGGAAGATTCTGCTATTAATTACTAGTTCTCACAGTGACTATTGCAGGCTCCTGTGTGAACATATTCTTGGGTAAGTAAGTGCAATGTCCATTTCAAATTATATCTGCCAGACAGCAACTGGAGATAAGCCTCAGCTATACGGAAGTTAATCTGAGTTTCTTCATGTGTTGTGAATTATTTGGATCTGAGTTTTCTGGTGGGCCTGTCTCTAGTAGAGTGTTACAGGGTGCTTGAGGCAACATAGTCCATCTATGAGCCTGTGAGCTGTATCTGACCCACACACACTTATATTCTGCATCTTTTCTGGGTATCGTGATGGGATTGAAGATGACAGGGAATATCTTTCCGGCCAACACCCAATACATCATCTGAATCCTAATTTTATCATAAGTTTTTGCTAGACTGTCTTATTCAAGCCACTTTGTTTCTGTGCTCTCTCCAGTGGTGAGTGCAAGTAGTAGTAACATTTCATTTCCTTGCAGTAAATCTGCATGGAAAAGCTTACAAATACTTATTCCTAATGGTGATTTCCAAGAGATGGTTGTGCATGAGAAATGTGCATTTACAGATCACAGCAGAAAAAACAGGTAGTTCATTGCACTTGGGCAATTGGTTGAGATTGTAGTTGCTGATCACAACAGCTATTTTTAGCTGTAATGTTAAGAACATGACTGGGCAAGTCAAATTCAGTGAAATTCAGCAGAACCATCACTTACACCCCTAGAAACTAATTAATTAGTGATGCAAATAGCTGGGTGGGTGACATGGTGAGACTATTCAATAAATGAATCAAAGAAACAAAGTAGTGCAATGTGAGCCAACTTGGCTATCTGGATATGCAAGGGAACAGTAGAGTGAGTACAGCAACACTGTAAGAACACCACAGATAAGGTGAAAAACAGAGCTACCTTCCAAAACCAGTCCTGCCAGTATCACTTCTCTTTTGTACTCTCTGGGCTAAATGCTAAATTGAGCATTAGCTGTGCCAGTTCTTATTGCCTTGCATTAATATTACAGTTGCTCATTTGAGGGGAAAACATACCTCCTCACAAAAAGCAATTCTCCTTATGAGTAAGATGCCTATGAATTAACTTTTTTGTGTAGATCTGTCAAGTTGTTTTCTGAATGAAAATTTGGTATAAAACTAAATTCTTGGCCACATATAATGATTTTGGCTTTCTTTTCCTTGGTGAATAATGTTTCAGCTGTTTAAGGCAGCTGTAGAAATCCTGCTGGAAGACAGTAAGCAAGGTAGCAGAGAGAGTCGGTTGCCTTCAAAAGACAGAAAAGAGATGATCTGCTGGAAGGATACTGGATCACACTGTCTTTCCACATAAGTGTACGATGTCCTACAGTGTTTATTACAATTACATTTTCCAGTGACTCATGCAATGTGGCTTCCAAGACATCTTCTGGAGAACTGAGTACTCCACTGTCCATTAGACCTTACTGAAGTATTTTTTTCCTGAAGATAATTCTAAACTTCTTATCGCTTTTGTTTGTTCCATGCCTCTTACATCGGACAATAAGACCCTACACACCCGTGCTGCTTTTTGCGATACTGGAATATAGTCTAGGTTCACACCTGTTATCTCTGCCTTTAACTTTAATTTGACCAGGTTAACTGCATTTTATTCTTGACATCAAGCCTTATGAATTACATCTATGAGGTCCTTTATTAATTTCAATTAATCAGTATCACACTGAGAAGTTCAGAACTGTGTAGTATTACATCAAAAAAAAACTAAGGGTAAAGATGAAAAGCAGAGATGTGTGTGAATTTTTAGCCTCTTACTCCTAATATTCTTACCTTGTAACTGTTAACTTTCTTGCACTTTATTTAAGAAGTTCCTTTTTGGCTAAGAAATTATTGTCCACATAAAATCAGCGCTGGGAAATTCATGCTTAAGTGTATCATTTACCATTTCAAGAGCAAACTATCCCAGTTGTGTTCATCTTACCAAGTTGTCCTTAACTGAAAGACATTTTGGTAAGGAGAGAGGAAGTCTAAGAGAAAATCCCATTTCGAAATAAAATGAGAACTGTTTCCTGGCCAGAGCACACACATTGCTGAGATCAGTGTATAAGGCATGTAAACATACAGAAGCAAGTGCGAGTTCATTCACACAAGTAGCAACATCATGGTGTGACTTTTCAGGCTTACCTACCATGAGAATGCATGTCAAGTTCACTGAATATTTAAGCATTGGCAAGTGTTGGCAGGAGCACACCTAAAGACAAGTCAATCATCACATAGTCGCTGAAGCTGAGTGTCATTTCACCTTTTCATGAATCTTAGCCATCTAAAAGCTAAGAATTTTTTAAAGCTGGTCATTTTGATTCCCTCTGTGGTTAGTGGAGAGAAAACACTGGGCATCATCCTTGGCAATTAATTCTGTATCATAGAATTGTGTCTGAAATAGGTGGGATGAATTGCCTTCTAAGAATGTTGATGTTTCTCCGTTGGCTCTGTCTGTGGTGTAGACCACTAGCTGTGAATTCAGCGTGCAATTTTTAGATGGCTGAAGTTATTTGAGATACAACCTACCCTTTGTCTAGCCATTTACTGTAACCACAGGCCACAATGCCAAGCACAAGCAGTAACTGGAACAGATTTTATCATGTATAATGTTACGTAATAATGTAACACAAGGTACAGGCTCTCATAAAATCAGTAGCTTTGTACATGAGATTTAGTATGATTCAAAAAAGGCCATAGGTAACATCTCTCCACACAAAACATTTTTTTCTTCAACAAATCAATAAAAACTTAACTGAATCTTGTGAAAACTCTGTTCATTCTGTTTTGAATTTTTTACACAAAGCAGTCGCCACTGTTCCCACAAGTCTTTGTTGTGCTCCTGAATTGTTGGTTTCATTTTGTTGTTGTTGCCAGTCGTTGGCAAGCTTAACTTAACCCGTGGAAGCATTATTTGCACCGTATGCTAATCTGAAAAGTTTAACTCTATCGATACTTTTCACCTAAGGACAGAAGAGCCATGCCAGTGTGCTCAACTTCTGGAATCTTCCACACAGAAACTAATTTTAAAAAAACATGCCATTGTCATACTTCTTATGGTTCTTTTAAAAAGTGAAGGTTTACATATGGTCACAAGTGGAGAAAAATAGACAAAGCTAAAATTTCATTAGAGGAAGAAAATTTAAAGACATTCTATTTTAAGACTGGAATGTAATTTTAAAATAAAAGCTTGGAGATAAGCTCATGGGGAGAGCATCCCTTTTTTTAGTTAAGATACCTCAGTCTCGGGGGAAGTTGTAGATCATTTGAAAATGACATGGTTAGCTAGTTTTCTTCCAGTAAACGTCTCCTGTTGATAAGATTTTAGTGCCTGTACCCATCCTGGACTTGCCATCTGGGACTTCTTTGTTCCATGCAAGAGTATCCATCCTTCTTTGGATGTTATAGGCAATACAGTCACCTAAGCATTGAAACATTTCTACTAAAATAAAATACATGTCACAGATGGGAAATGTTTACATTTTCCAATAATAAAAAAAAATAACCACTCTTTAGGCAACATTTGTCTAATTTTATATTTTAGTATCTTCAAAACTTGTAGGTAGGCATTGTTATTATTTCTTGCTATAGTTCCCAGCTTGATGACGTATTAAGTGATGTCTAACAGATTCCTTAAAATAAAAAAGACCCTTGTTAGAGCAGGAATAACTGGCTCCTCCAGAAATAGCCCATCTGACAGTAGGAAAGGTGGCATGAATGTTTCCCAAGGTTGCCTGTTTTTCCTATTGGCTTTGTAATGTTACTGACTTGCATACAGGTCTCTCAAAAACACGTAAATATAAATAGGTCCCACTTACATACCATGCTCAAATGTACAATCCCATTTAAATTGATGGGATTTTCACAGTTCAGATATTGATCTATATTTTCATGGACCTAATGATCTTTGAAAAATCTGAATTTAGTGGTGTGATTCAGCTGGCAGATTAAGACTCATACTTGGTAGGTGTTCATTTGTGAGCCACATGTCTAACCTCCCTGTAACCAGCGGGGATGTAGTCAGAGCAGCCAGTGAAGTCTGAAGAAAGAGTTCAGCTAACAAAATGGCATTTCAATTTTAGGGTATGTGAAATCACTCTTTAAGACTTAATTGGCTGTATTAATTAGATCTCTGTTGACTACAGTGGCATCTTAGACACCCATTAGGCCTGTGCCTAATACTGCATACGTACAGTATGGATTCCAACAATATAAGCACCTGCGTTTAAGTATCTTTAGTCTTCAGTTACTTCCTACTCTATCACTTGACTTCATGTATTCTGCTTTATAAGGAAAATCCTTCATTTACACCTTTCTATACTTGTCTATGCATATGTTGTCACCTGAGATTAAAATATGTCATCTGTCAATGTTCTCCTGAGATTTAAAAACTCCCTGGGTCAAGGAACATCTTTTTACAAATAATGAGTGGTCCTGAAGGTAAAGCACTGTGGGTTCTCAGCCAGCTGTCTTCCCACTTATGACAATCTCAGGAAAAGAAGGGCAGTAGTGACACTGAACAAGCATTGGAAAAAAGAAGTGTTTTGCTATTTTCTTAAGTCTTAAAGAGTATTTAGTGGCATCTTAGCTAGTTTATTAGTTTAGCTAATTCAATTTTCTTTACTTTCTAGGAATGATTTTGAAGAGTATTTTGACATTGTGATTACAAATGCTTTGAAACCTGGTTTCTTCTCCCATACCCCAAACCAAAGACCTTTCCGAACTCTTGGTAAGTTGCAGTTGTGACTCCCTTCTCATCTGCTTACCTCTATCCAAAAAAGAAATAAAAGTGAGAGGACTGTACAACGTATTTTGAAAATCTAGCATTGGGGGAAAAATGAACTCTACACTCTTCCAGAGATATAGAGACATTAGTAAAAAATTATCTTAAGACTGAGGAGCACTGAGAAATTAAGAATTACAGTGCTGAGGACAATGAAAAGGCAGAGCTGCAACAGTAGTTAAAAATGGTATTGCATTGGCTCAGATATTGCATCATTAATGAAAAAGTAAGAATCCTTTACTGTGCTGACAAGGTCATACACAGAAAATGAAATTTAGTTCTGGGAAAAAACATAGCAGAAATATTTCAAGAATTTAAAGGAAATTCAAAGAACAGTACAAATAAAATTGCAAGGCTGAAGGAAATTATTTATGATGGAAATCTGACAGTATTAAATATGTGTACTTTGGCTAAATAATGACAGAGTAGGCAAAAAGGAAGTGCCCCTGTACTCACTTAATTAAATTAAAACAATCTGAAACATTTGGCAATGTTGTCCATTAGGTAATTAAGGTTGTAACAAAAGAGGTTTATAAGAACAGTGTTCATTGAACTACAAATAACAATAGTAACATGGCTGAAGACAGTTAAATTTTCCATATTTTGGTAAATACCCTTATGATTAAGTGCTACCTGAAAATTAATCTTATATCCAAAACAGCCTAAGTCAGCATATGTTTTAGCATTTTATGACAGGAAAGTCAGCTGTTCCAGCCCAAAAGAAATTTTGCCTGTGGAACTTTTACAGTAAAACTAAAATGAGCAGTGGAAATACATATTGAAACTGCATTTTAATGTTTCACCAATTTATATAGGAAAATAAGTAAGAAATATCTTAAATGTGATTTTTTAAGGATTAGTTCAAATAGGAAACTGCCAAATTGACAATCTGAGAAAAAATAAGGGAAATTGAAACTATTTATATGAAATAGGGGGGAAGCAAAAACATAAAGGATTAAAAAGGCTCACTTCTGCAAGCATTTTATTTGGTTTCATATAATGCAAATTGAAAATAAAATGTAATTTACTTTGGATATTTTTTAAACAATCAGATTAGCCTGACTTCCTAAGGAAATCCTGCTGTGTCCCTCTGTCTGTAATCCAGCCAGCAACTTTGGAACCTGTTGGCCAGTTTCAGTAAATTTAATAGACAGCCAGAAAGCTCCAAGATACTTCAACAAGGCTTTTCGTGCAAACCAGGACAGAACAGAGGGAAAAGACTTGAAATTACTGTCTCCATTGAGAAATATTGTGTAGCATTATCTTAATCACATTATTAGATTGTAAGTACCATTTTCATGAAGCTGTTTCTTTCTCGTGTTCAAACAGGAACAGCATTCCCTGGAGTCCTCTTACTGACTTACTGGTTTTCATTGACTTTATATTTTGGCATTGCAAAGAGGCTCAAGTGAAGCCTTATTCATTACATGAATACCTTATTAATACAGAATAAAATGTAGTTTATGTTCTGGAGACCTCACTATCTAAATAGATAAGGGACACAAACATAACTAAAGCAATCATCAGATAATTTGCTGAAACTACTAACCTGTGAGTGGATTTTTTTTTAATATATTTGTATTTGATTGACAGTAACTGGTTTCTTCTGAAAGACCAACCAGAACATTCAAAGCAAAGAATTATACATATAGGACAGGTTTTGAGAGACAGGTTTTGAAGTAGTGAAGAGCTTGTTTAAGAGTATGTGAAGTTTATACCATCAAAATAGGAGCAATTATATAAGAAAATGTCCAAAATAATAATATATTTTTATAATGTATCTTTTGCTGCTCTCCCTCTGTGTTCCTCACAACAAATGTATAGCTTCAGGGTAGGCACTGGTAGTTTCACCCAGTCACTGCAGATACCAAGGAACACAGTTCATTTCTGAAACAGCATACAGTGGAGCTTCTAATACATTTGGGCAGGAGCAGGTTTCCAGAATTTTTTTAAGGTCTTCTTTCATATCAGAACCATTGAAAATTCAAAATTTCAGTTTCTAGTTTCTATCTTCCTTTTGCCACTATAGATTTTGGGCAGAAGAGTTTAGCTGCTGTCCTTCAGACCCTCTCTTCTCCGAGAGCACTGGACATAATATATCAGGCAGACAAAATTTCCTTATTTTTTCTTTGAAATAGGAAAAAAACTAGAGGTGGACATCATAGTAAATATTTTCTTAAAGCATAAAGAGTAAACTTTAGTTAGTGTAATTTAGGGAAAAAAGCTCCAGTAAGTTAAACAAAGCTTGTTCCGTGAAGAAATTTGTTGCAGAAAACGGGCTGAAGTAACTGCTTATCAATCCTATATATTTCTCCAGGGCTGAGTTCCAGCCATGTTCTTCCATCCATTAGTGGGTCGGAATTACATTAAATTCCTAATTATACCGTATTCCCTTCTATTCCAAGGGAATTGTGTTATAAATGGACTTAAGGCACAAAATATGGAATGTGTTCTTAATTTCAAACACCCCAAGTGTTGCATTGTGTACTGGAGCTAAATTTTATTTATATATAACAGGATTTTTGCTGCAGATTTACTAAGAAAGGTTTTGAAGTTTACTAAAGAGAAGGATAAATTCTTTTCAGTGAAAACATTTGAAGGAGGACGAGAAACAGGACAAGATGACAAAGAAGACATTGTCTAGAAATGTGATATCGGATAACTGCTCTGCAGAAATGTTTATCCAGTAGACAAGCAATTTTAGAACTAATCCATTTAGAAACCATGAAAAATTATTTTAATTGCGCAATTAAAAATGCATCACTGCTTCATGTGAGTTTCAAGAGACACATCATTTAAAGCAACAAAACACTGTTTGAAATCTTAAAAGATTTGTGTGACTGCTTTTTATTGAACTGGGGCACTGAAAAGCACAATAATTAATTATTTAATTTGCATAATTGTCTTTTGAAGTACTGTTCTGTTAAATGGAGGAACAGTTTATATGTATCTTTCCAGGTTTTAGAACAGCTACATTTATTTTTATCTGGCAACAGAGTTTTTATAGTTGGGGGTAGCTTATGTAGCAAAGCACATAGTTTATGAGAACAGTGCTATAAAAAAAACACTTTACTCCCATAATACGAACACCCCATAATTTACTTGTTATTCACAAGGTTACATTTTCTTTTACAGAGGGAAATTCTGTAAATGGTTCTTGAAAGAACTAATAGTATCTTGAGCTATTGGATCTAAGGATCAGGTCGAAAATGTTTGTGTAAATCCTATGTTGAGAATGTAGGATTTTCTTTGCTTTCAACAGCTACATCCAGCTTAAAATAATGTATCATTCCATGAAGGACTGGAAGGAATACGAATAGGAAATACAGTTGTGACTCATCTGATAATCTGCAGTACACCAAGATTTCTGTAACATTTGACAACAGAGCTTTCCCTTTATCACATCACTCGTTAATGTATGTCAAATTATTAGCCTGACTGCCAGTTCTGATCATTGTCAAATATATTTTTCAGAATACAAAATTAAAATAGAAATGCTAAAGATAACCCTAAATTCACTGAAAGCCTTCTGTAAGTCTGTATGCACAGGGAATTCTCACTTGGTCTTAAATAAGACTTTTACATCTTTTATTTCCAGCTCAGGAACAGTTACTGTCTTTTTTTATCTGTTTTTTTGATAAACTGAAAATGTGTTGCTGATTGTTCAGTGTCTGAATGTACAATGCATATTTTAAAATGTATGTGTATCTTCATATATATGTATAGGCCGAAAAAAATCCAATATATGGAATGCCAGTGGATGCCATATTTCTGTGAGATCATGTGCCCTTATCCAATGTCCAGAGAAACAAACCCGCTCTCCTTCTCCAGCGGAGAGTGTCAGGTTTTCAAAGCCCGCTTTCAATTGCACTTCCAGGCTGTCTGCCTTACTGCTGCACTTGAATTTCTGTCCAGCTTATGGTGCCTCTGCTACGTGATGTAGCCCGCAGTTTAGGATCCTCTTTCACTCCTCCAATTTTTTACGCTTCTCTGGTAACTGCCATTTTAACAACTCACTGCAGAAGCTTTTTTCCTCCCTCAGTCATTCTTCTCTAGCCTTCTAAAAACACAGGAAAAAGCTATAAACTGAAAAGTCCAATTAGAAAAGAAAATAAGGAGACAGGATATAAAATTACGTACTTCTAGGCTGAAGACTGTCTTTGTTTATTAGGGACTGCAAGACTTCAGAAGAAGGAGGTGATCCCATATCTGCTATTTAAGTTTTCTCCTGTCATCTTATGCGACATCTGGGCTTGACTATTGCCAGTGATGGGATACAGAGCTGGGTGGAGAATCAGGGCTGATGCTATATAACTGTTCTAAGGCCTTTTAGACCTAAGGAGTGGGATCAGGAAGCAAGTGCCTTCATTTTCCTGGAAGTTAAATGTGTAAGCCATATAACTTCTTTTTAGGTCATTCTTTTTATTTGAGACTTTTGTGTTTACCACCAGAAGAATACCAAAATACTACCCAGTAAATTTTTTAAGACCTTTAGTAAAACTGTAGAATATCTATTAAAAATTTGGAAGTTTTGAAACAGATGATATTGCACCATTACAAGGAAATACATCATTTAAATAGTCTTGCATTATTTACTCATTTGAAGAACATAAATGCCGTGTCTAGAAAATTCTGATTAAATTTTAGAATCATAGAACCATAGAATAATTTGGGTTGGAAGAGACCTTTAAAGGTCATCTAGTCCAACCCCCCTGCTGTGGGCAGGGACATCTTCAACTAGATCAGGTTGTGCAGAGCCCCATCCAACCTGTCCTTGAATGTTTCCAGGGATGGGGCATCTACCACCTCTCTTGGGCAACCTGTTCCAGAGTTTCACCACCCTCATCGTAAAAAATTTCCTCTGTGTATCTAGTCTGAATCTACCCTCTTTTCATTTAAAACTGTTGCCCCTTGTCCTGTTGCAACAGGCCTGCTAAAAAGTCTGC